ACCTAGAAGGGGCAGAGAGGAAGAGAGAGAGAGAAGCTGGCTCACCCAGTGGGACTTGAACTCACAACCTGTGAGACTTATGCCCTGAGCCCAAGTCAGACGCTTAATCAATTGAGCCACCATAGTGCTCCAACAATTGTATTTTATTACCAGTTAATAAAACTAGCATTCTGTTCTTTTGGATTTATGCTGGCATCTTCAGCTAAGCATTTTTTTTTTTTTTGCTTTTGCTTTTAAAGATCTTATTTTTTTTTAAGTAATCTCTACACCCAACATGTGTCTTGAACTCACAACCCTGACATCAGGAGTCACATGCTCTACCAGCTGAACTCACCAGGTACCCCAGCCTCTGCCACTTTTTAAATCTCTTAGCAGATAGCACCTGCCCTTCCCTATGATTTCCTGATTTGGCCATGGAAGCTTCTTTTCACTCCTTTTTTTTTTTTTTTAAATATTGTGCATTGTATTCTTCTTTTTTTCTTTTGATGGTTTTTAATTTTTTTTTTCAACGTTTATTTATTTTTGGGACAGAGAGAGAAGGAGCATGAACGGGAGGGGCAGAGAGAGAGGGAGACACAGAACGGAAACAGGCCCAGGTTCTGAAGAGCCATCAGCCCAACGCTGCCTGAACTCGCACGGACTGGCAGATCGCGACTCGGTCGACGCGAATCCCATCATGCCACCCAGGCTCCCCTGATGTTTTTTATTTATTTATTTTTGAGAGAGAGAGCATGCAAGAGAGCTGGAGAGGGGCAGAGAAGGAGGGGGACAGAGGATCCGAAGTTGGCTCTTTGAAGTTGGCTCTTTGCTGAGAGCAGAGAGCTCCAATGCTCCTAACTCGAGACTGAGATCAAGTGAGCCAACATCAGATACTTAACCAACTGAGCCATCCAGGATCCCCTTATTCTTTTTTTTTTTTAGTAGGCTCCATGGCCAACGTGGGGCTTGAACTCAAGACCCTGAGATCAAGAGTTACATGCTCTACCGACTGAGCCAGCCAGGAACCCCTCTTTCACCTTTAGTACTAAGGACTTTGAACTTTGTTTTAATGAAGGAAATACTGAAGTGTTTTAATACAGATTTACATTTTAGAAAGCTAAAGTTAGAAGAATTGTGGGCAATTAATTGAACACAAGAGAGAGCCAAATCAGAATTAGGAGGTCATACAGGAATTAAGCTAGAAACAATGACGGCCCAGTGAGGTCAAGATAAGAACAGAATAAGTTAAAAAGGTATTCAATAAAAGTTAAGTTTTAGCCTGTTTATAATGGGTGTAGTCAGTGAAAAGGAGAAATCTAGGATGAAGAGGAATCAAATATTTCTGGTTTCAATGATTGAGCAAAGTATGATACTGTTCACCAAGACAGAGACGATGGAGGGATGGGGGAGTTCATTTTGACAGACTGAATTTTAGTCACCTGTAGGAACCATCCTGTGAAAGTATCTATAGCTCATTAGAGCCACAGTGTAAAACGGGGGTGGAGGAGGGTCCACTGATTTATTTGGTGGTCATTGAACCTGGCCAATGGCATAGATAAGGTCAAGAGGAGTTGATCATTGATGTCACTTCCAACATTGTGTACATCTGCTATGGAACATAAAACAATATAAAAAAGATAAAATCATAAGCTATCATACTAATCTATGTGCCTACACATATGTATACATATATGTATCTATATTTAGGAATATGGTCCTTCTTACTTTGAAGCAGATCTAAGTGGGAAAGAAGTACACTGTATACTTATTGTAATATTGTATAAAATAGGATGTTTTGATCGGAATCAGTGCCTTATGTATACAGGGTTCTGAGTGCTTTATTCTGTAACGGTCAACCTCCCTTGCTTTTTTGTTACTACTCTGTACAGCCAGACGCTTTTTAGATTGAAACAATTGAGCAGTAAAGCTTAAGAAATACTCTGGCAAATACTTTGCAATTCAGAAGCTCAAAGTACAGTGATTTGGCCCCACTAATCCTTCAGTAAATATCCATTGAGTGGATAAATATCCATATATAGATGCATAAGACAAATGAAAAGAGCCATGTCCTTGATTTTTTGTAATTCTCTTTGAAAATAAAATCAATTCATAAATACTTACCTATGTGTGTGTTATGTACAAGCCTTGAGCCAGAAAACACAGATGTGTGTTTTTTCTACAGACCTACCAGATGAGAAATTATTTCTGAACCTTTGCCTTTGAGTAGCCTTCCGAATTAAGAAAAGCAATTATTTCCTGCAATTTTACACACAAAGCCCCAGTGTATATAGGTACTTGGTTCTCTGAATGGCCTCTCTTATTTTCCTTATAAGCATTTTACTTGATTTTTGTTTTTTTGTTTTTAACAGACCAAAAAAGAAGCACCTGAGTGGTCTAAGAAACAAAAGATGAAGACCTAGTGTTTTGGATGGATTTGCTGTATCATTATTTACTCCTGAAGTTCTTTCTCTGATGAGCAAAAAGTTTATCTTAATCATGGACTTGACATTTTTTTTTTAAATAACCAAAGCTTATTTTAACCAAATGTTAAATTAAGAGATTTCAGCCTAAGAATCAAAATGTATAACGTGCAGACAGTAGTCCACTTTGTATTTGGTTTTACCTATTGTGTTACAAAATAAATATCATATACTCTTATGATTTACATTTTGGAGCTTTTTTCTACATATATAAATACTAGGCTTAAATGTCGTAACATAAATACCAAGACACATTACGTTTTTAAAATTAAGAATCATTTGTGAAATCTATTAGAAGACACTTCAAATGCCCAGTGACGGTGGTCAAATATCATGTAGGCGAATATGAATTGCCAACTATTTCTTTGGGCTCTGTTTTTCCTTATAATATGATCATTAATCAATAAAGTCTAGTAGAAAATCTGTTACTCCGTTGGTCAAGTAAGAATTTGGTAGAAAGTCTCTTGGTACATTGGTCTAAACAGTGCTGATTCAGATGCAGTATGGACCCAATTTCTAGTCAGTGAGAAAAAAAATGAATAATACTTTCTCTTTTTCTTGATACAAAATATGTCCCATTTCTCATTCAAGAGATAAAACGTAAAGAAGAAGGGGAAGGAGGGAAATAGAGAAAGAAAAGAAAAAATATGTTTTTATAAATCAGGTTTTCTCAACCAGTGTTGAACATAGTGGCTGGATAATTCTTCGTTCCGGGTGGAGTTGGTGGGGGCAGTTCTCTGCATTGTGAGATGTTCAGCAGCATCTCTGGCCTCCGCCACTAGATGACAGTAGCACCACCACCCCCAGTTGTGTTAAGCAGAACCGCCTCTGTCCTCGGGGGTGGCAAAGTCCCTCCCTATTTCCTAGTGAGGAACCAGTGATACGGAAGTTGATTTCTGTAGATGTGAAACACAAGTACCATCTGTTCAATGTGTTCTTTGAAAATCACAATAGTGCAGACTGTTAGGTGAGTGAGAGAACAGAAAAAGCCTTTGATGATAGTATATACTTACAAATCTATCATCGACCTGAAGACCCTAATCTCATCTCCCCTCTTTGTTTCATTTAGTTAAACATCTTCTAATACACTTTCTGCAACAAAGGTTTGTGAATATGACCTTTCTTAGGCGTGCATGTAAAATCCAGAGTACTTATATGATTCATTAAAACTATATTAATTCGTAGACATAATTTGTTTCCTTCTAAAATGATAGAAAATGTCTTATGTTCAATTCTAATTATTAATCTAAAAGCACTTTGTAATTTATTTTAGTCAATCCATTATTATATGATATTTTAATACAAAGGGATACTGATTGATTACCCAAGTTAAATTAATGATGTGATGGCACAAAAACAGACACTCAGATCAATGGAACAGACTAGAAAACCGAGAAACGGGCCCACAAACGAATGACCAACTAATCTTTGACAAAGCAGGAAAGAATATCCAATGAAATAAAGACAGTCTCTTCAGCAAGTGATGCTGGGAAGACTGGACAGTGACATGCAGAAGAATGAGCTTGGACCACTTTCTTACACCATTCACAAACATAAACTCAAAATGGATGAAAGACTTCAATGTAAGACAGGAAACCATCAAAATCTTCGAGGAGAAAGCAGGCAAAAACCTCTTTGATCTTGCCCGCATCAACTTCTTACTCAACGTCTTCTTACTCCACATCTCTGGAGGCAAGAAAAACAGGAGTAAAAATGAACTGTTGGGACCTCATCAAAATAAAAAGCTTCTGCACAGCGAAGGAAACAATCAGCAAAACTGAAAGGCAACTGACAGAATGGGAGAAGGTATTTGCAAACGACATATCAGATAAAGGGTTAGTATCCAAAATCTAAAGAACTTCTCAAACTCACCACCCAAAAAACAAATATTCCAGTGAAGAAATGGGCAAAAGACATGAATAGACCCTTCTCCAAAGAAGACCTCCAGATGGCCAGCCAACACATGAAAAAATGCTCAACATCATTCATCATCAGGGAAATACAAATCAAAACTACAATGAGATATCACCTCACACCTGTCAGAATGGCTAACGGTAACAACTCAGGCAACAACAGGTGTTGGCAAGGATGCGGAGAAAGAGGATCTCTTTTGCACTGCTGGTGGGAATGCAAATTGGTGCAGCCACTCTGGAAAACAGTATGGAGGTTCCTCAAAAAATTAAAAAAACAACTACCCTACAACCCAGCAATTGCACTACTAGGTATTTATCCAAGGGATACAGGTATGCTGTTTTGAAGGGACACATGCACCCCAATATTTATTACAGCACTATCGACAATAGCCAAAGTATGGAAAGAGCCCAAATGTCCATCGATGGATGAATGGATAAAGAAGATGTATATATATACAATGGAGTATTACTCAGCAATCAAAAAGAATGAAATCTTGCCGTTTTCACCTACGTGGATGGAACTAGAGGGTATTATGTCAAGCGAAATTAGTCAGAGAAAGACCAATATCATATGACTTCACTCATATGAGGACTTTAAGAGACAAAACAGATGAACATAAGGGAACGGAAGCAAAAATAAAAATGGAGGGGGACAAAACATAAGAGACTCTTAAATATGGAGAACAAACAAAGGGTTACGGGGAGGGGCTGTGGGAGAGGGGATGGGCTAAATGGGTAAGGGGCATTAAGGAATCTACTCCTGAAATCATTGTTGCACTATACGATAACTAACTTGAATGTAAATTTTAAAAATAAATTAAATAAATAAGTAAATAATAAAATCAAAGCTGTATAGGAAAAAATAAATGGTTAAAAATGTTTTAAAAAATAAACAAATAATAAAATAGTGATGTGAACAAGGGCACAGAAGTAGGAAAATTAGGAGCTCATTTAAGAAATAGAAACTGCAGTGATGAAGAAATTGAGGAAGTCTTTCTGTCTCCAGATCCTTAATATTCTTCCCTCTTTCTTTCCTTTCATTACTAGATATAATTCCTTGGGGAAAAAAAGTTCCTAGTATCATTTCTTACCATAATATCTATTAATAAATCTCAGGGTTAGGATGTTTTGTTTTTTATTGAATTATATTTGACATACTATAATTTTTAGTTTCAGATGCACAACATAGGGAGTTGATATTTTTATACATTATGAAATGACCACCACAATAGGTCTAGTTACCCTATGTCACCACACAAAGTTATTACAATGTTATTGACTATATTCCTTAGTTGTACCTTATATCCCCATGACTTATATTATTGTATAACTAGAAGATTGTACCTCTTAATCCCTATTACCTATTTCACCCATTCCTTAACTTCCTGCTTGATTGTGACATGAAAGCTTCTTGGAAGACCTTTGTGGATTTCTAATTCAGATGCCACTCCTATCAGAAAGTCTTATCTGTTCTGCCATAATAATCTGTATTAAATTCTCTGTACTTTATCTATCTTTAATTCTGCCTACCATGTTTTATAATAATTGTTTATGCTTGTCTATTTCCTTGAAGGCAAGAATTATTTCTTAGGCTTTTTTGGTCCTTGGTAATTTAGCACTGTGCCTTGAACTTAAGTAGGAAATGTTTATTTGATGAATTTGAGCAGAGATGAGATACAGTGATGTAAATTTTTATTTTACTAATGTCTTAAAAACTAGAGTTTTTTTTTTTTTTTTTAGTATCCTGAAATCTATTGTAGCTCATTTCTTAATGTCACTACAACCCTTGCCTTTTCTCCAAATTTCCAGACCTTCACTTCTTCACTTTTTCCTCCTTACCATTTCTTTATTATTATTATTATTATTATTATTATTATTATTATGGTAAAAAACACATAACAAAATTTTTAATGTACAGTTTTTTTAATGTACATTTAATTTTTAAATGTACAGTTCAGTAGTATTGACTCTATTCACATAGTTGTACAGCAAACCTCCAGACTTTCTCATCTCTCAAATCTGAAATACTCATTAAACAGCCTCTCATTTCCCCTTTTTCCCTCCCCAGCAACCCACCATACTTCTGTTTCTATGAATTTGACTACTTTAGATTTCATATAAGTGGAATCACACAGTATTTGTCTTTTTATGACTGGCTTATTACACGCAGCAAAATGTCCTCAAGGTTCATCCGTATTGTAGCATATGTCAAAATTTCCTTATTTATTGCTGAATAATATTCTACTGTTTGTATATAACACATTTTTTTTTAATCCATTTATCCCTTGATGGACATCTGGGTTGCTTTCACCTCTTGACTATTACAAATCTCCTTATTTCCTAACTTTATCATAATCCTTTCCTGGCTTTGGCATTTTCTTATTAAAACGTAAATAAAACAAGATTAGCATAATATTCTTTTTTTTCCTGGTAAATGTTTTATGAAACGTTGCCCAAATGTAAGAGTAATGGCTACCATTATCAAGCTCATTCTGTCAGCCAGTTGCTGTGTTACATGCTTTCTACTCCTTAATTTACTTAATCTAAACAGTAACTTTGCCAAGTAAGCATTATCTTCATTTTTAAAATGAAGAAACTAAGACTCAGAGTAACTTAATGGCCCAAGATCAGACACGTAATAAATAGAAGTGGATCTGAACCAAGACTGTCTAATTCTAATGGCCATGCTCTTTCCAGTATACTCTACTGCTTCTCATGCCTCACTCCCTATCCCCACCCCCACCCCAGTGGGACAGAAAGGAGGGGGAAAAATCTTGATTTATCAGCTTTCTTTGGAGGGAAAAAAAAAATGGATAAGATGTAGCATAGCTGAATTTTTATTCAAGAAAAATTTATAGGTATCAGATCTATTCCTAAAGATAATGTTCCAGTGTTAAAGGATTCTGACACTAAGGAATTCCGTGTTCTCACAATTCTTACTAAGTTAATAGTATATAATAAGCTTTTCAGAACCAACTAAATCATCCATGCGTTAATTAATTCATGCATTCATTCGACAAACGTGAAACACTTAAAATGTGTAAGGCATTCAAATTTTGAAGTGTTTGTTCTCTTCCTTTTCCAAAGGGCTTTGAAAAAGAACTCTATGATGTCTCAAACACCAGAGAAGAGATTTTATCTTATCCTCAATGTAAGAATTTCTGAAAAGAACTATCACCCAGTGACCATGAGTACTCCAAATTCACCATATTATACCGACAGTGGTTAGATAATCACCCATCAGAAAGTTTAAAGCAGGATTCCCAACCCCTTAGAGAAGGTTGAAGCTATTAGTGAGTCAGATTCCCTTTCATTCATTCTAAGATCTTGCGAAGCTAAGAATATGCAAAAAAGGGGGCAGGGAAAATAATTTATTTTAATGTTACTTAGTTTAGAAAGTAATAAGTACTATAAATGCTTCAAAGAAAGATTTCCTGAGGCTTAGAGGTCACCAAAGCTCGGCGGCTAGCTATCAAGAGTCCTCACTAGGTATCGTTTCTTTTGGTTGATTTACAAGAGTCCATAGTCCAGGCCTCAGCTCTACAGGCTCAGAAACTTAATTTTATTACTTAAGGTACTGAAGGTGACATCTTTCAAGAGTATGCCCCCACTCACTGGTGTATAAATCATGTATTTTGAGCAAGAAGTAAAACTATTCTACAGAATACAACTCCATGATCGGCACAGATGGAACATTCCCTATTTTCCCTTGGCTTCTGCAATACTGTAAACTCATCATTTTCCTCCTTCCTCCTCTTTTAGCTGATCATGAAACATGAGAACATTTCAGTTTCTTTTTCCCCTTAAATCTTTTTCCTGTTCTGTATTGAATCTCTTGATAATTTCTACTCCCTGGCTTTAGTTACTATATGCCAATATTCCCAAATGTATATCTCTAGGTCAAACTGTTTCTTTTAACACCTGACTACTTGATGTGTCTACTTGGATGTCCCATTGTGACCTCAAACCTAACTTGAACCAAAACAAAACAAAAACAAAAAACCAAAACAAAACTGAATTCACCAAGTTTCTTTTCCAGTCCCTCAATAAATGGTACCACCATCTATGTACTCTAAATGGCTCATAGCATAATTGTAGGAGTCATTCTAGACCCTTCTCTTATTTACTCCCAAGCATTCAATCACCCAGCCTTGTTGATCTGCCTTATAAATATTTCCCCTGTTTAAAAAAATTTTGATTATGAGAATTTCCAAGTAAACAAAAGGGCAGCATAAACATTGGCAGGGCAGGGGAGGGAGACAGATATGCTGTTTGTGGTAGTGGTTTCGTGAGTGTTTACGGTTTATAAAATTGTACATTTTTTTAAATGTGCAGTTTATTATATGTCAGTTGTACCTTAAAAATGTTTGAAAAGAAAAGGAGGAAATCACTACTTAGTAACCCCTAATGAAATAAATGATTCGGGCATCAATCACCAATGAATGCTGAAGCAATGAGATACAAGGATAATAGGGAACTTTACATCAGGCCATAATCACCTAAATTTTCTGATCTACCTTATTATCACTAAAAGTGGGGCAAGCAGAAATTATGTGCCTCTTGATGTGATATAATGTGAAATATAAAACATTACCTATGCAGTATCCTTGGGAAAAACAAACTTACCCTGAATCAAATCAAGTCTTCAGATCTAACTTCAATCTAAAGGCAAAGCAAGAAATAGATCAAGCTGAATAACACTATGAAGAAGGAATTGACTAAATCCAGAATGTAGGACGTTATGGGTATTGGAATGTTCAATGTTTCCAGGCCTTATTTGTAGCCTCTTTAATAGAGCTGCGAAATTAACGTTCTTAAATGGAGGGGGGAAATCATAAGCTCCTATTGATACATCCAATGTAAGTTAAGATTTTTGTAGAGATTTCAACTTCTTGATTTTTATATTTTGTATTTCATTTACTGTTTATGAATTTCTGTCACCAACTTAATTCAAGCCCTTATGTCCTCTTCCCTAAATTATATCAGTAGTATTCTACCTGATCTCCATAAATCTACTCATGCCTCTCTCCAAACCATTCTCCACAGAACAATCTTTTCTTTTTTTATACGACAATTTTTTATTTAAAGTTTAATCTACAGTTTATATAAGTACTTATAAGTCATGAACTTGAAAAACAGAACAAAATACAATTGAGGTAGAAGTTAAGAGCACAGTGCCATGTTTCAGTAAATTTAATTCAAAATTGTAAATGACCAGATAGATGAGCCTTGATTTTTACTCAACCCATGTTAAATATTGATTGAAATAAACAAACAAACAAACAAACAAACAAATAAACAAATAATAAATATTGATTTCATATAAGGTAGAGAATAATTTTATTTTTCATTTAATGCAATCATGGCAATTTTAATCATAATATTGTACATCATTGGCAATTTTTAAAATTCTTAACTATGTTGATCATAATGTAACACTTATTTCTCAATAGTTGCGAAAGGTATTTCACTTGCTACCTTCACAGACTAGAAGTTCAGAACTATGTTTTTTGTTTTTGTTTTTGTTTTTGTTTTTGTTTTTGTTTTGTACTAGCAAAATGAGTTTGTTCTGGAATAGCAGATAAATTGTGATTTGGAACTAGAAAACTATGGTGAACCATAAGCAAGTTCCCAGAATTAACTTTAAAAACTACTGTATAAGGGGTTATTTTTTAATATAAAGAACTTACACAACTCAACACCAATAATAATAATAATAATAATGCAATTAAAAATCAGGCAAAGGACCCAAATAGACATTTTTCCAAAAAAAAAAGACATAAGATGACCAATAGACACATGAAAAGATGCTCAACACTTCTCATCATCAGGGAAATGCAAATCAAAACCACAATGAGATGTCACCTCACACATGTCAGAATGGCAGTCATCAAAAAAACAAGAAATAACAACTGTTGGTGAGATTGTGGAGAAATGGGAACCATCATGCACTGTTGGTGGGAATATAAATTGGTGCAACAACTGTGGGAAATGGTATGGCAGTTCTTTAAAAGTAGAAATACCAAAGAATTAATTTAATTAAATTAATAATTTAATTAATTAAGGGACACCTGGATGGCTCAATCGGTTAAGCACACAACTTCAGCTCAGGTCATGATCTCACAGTTCATGGATTTGAGCCCCATGTGCTGGCAGCTCAGAACCTGGAGCCTGCTTCAGATTCTGTGCCTCCCTGTTTCTCTGTCCCATCCCCACTCATGTTCTATCTCTCAAAAGGAAATAAATGTTAAAAAAAAAAAAGTAAAAAATTAATTTAAAATAGAAATACCATTTGATTCAGTAACTCCACTACTGGGTTTTTACCCCCCAAAAAACAAAAATTCTAATTAGAATAGATATATGAGCCCCTATGTTTATTGCAGAATTATTTAAAATAGCCAAGATATGAAAGCAACCCAAGTGTCCATTGATAAGTGAATGGATAAAGATGTGGTATATACATAACAAGGGAATACTACTCAGCCATAAAAAGAAATGAAATCTTGCCATTTGCAACAACATGGATGGACCTAGGGGGTATTATGCTAAGTGAAATAAGTCAGACAGAGAAAGGCAAATACCATATGATTTCTCTTATATGTCGAATATAAAAAGCAAAACAAGTGAACCAACACAGAAACAGACTTTTACATACAAGGAACAAACTAGTAGTTGCCAGAGGTGAGGTAGGTTGGGGTATGGGCAAAATAGATGAAGGGGATTAAGAGGTACAAATTTCCAGTTATGAAATTAGTAAGTCATGGCAAGGAAAAGTTCAGCAAAGGGAATATAGTTATAATTATAATAACATTGCATGGTGACAGATGTTGAGCATTGAGTAATGAACAGAATTGTCAACTCACCATGTTGTATGCCGGAAACTAATATAACATTGTATGCAAATTATACTTCAATAATAAATAAAAATCAAATTAAAAAGATTGCTGTGTTGGCATAATATTAAGGTAAATGCTTCTAAACAGATGGACAAAAACATATATTTCATTACCCCCACTCTATAGATCCCAAAAGTATCCTAAATTTAGCCAGTGTTTTTAGTTATTGTAGTAGAAGTATGTTATGCTTCCTTTATTTTCAAGGAGAATATAGTTTAGATGAGAAAAATCTTCATACATCTTTTAAACAAATTTTTGATACATTATTTTGTCTTTTGGGCTTTACTTTTATTTTTCTTATTTTATAGTTGAGCACTTTCCGATTCAAAAACATAACACTACCTAATACATTTAATTCTGTGACTAATGAAACAGGCTCTAAACTGTAAGAAGCAGTTTAGAATCTAACATATTGCCCCGAATGGAATGAGATGGAGTAGAATAAAAATGACTGTCCTCTTAACCCAGATACAACATGTTTCTTTTCTTCTAATAATGGAAATGCTTATATATCACTTATGGGGGGGGGGGGTAAGCTCTAAACATTTTAAATCATTCAATTCCACAGCACATAATATAACAGTTGTTTCTATTGCTGACAACTTCATAAAAACTAATAACGTGTAGTTTCAAGCATAGAAAAAGAGTGAAAGTATAGGTATTTTTTTTTTTCTAAAATGCCCTGTCCTGTGGAATAAATGGATTCAGAGCAGAGAAAAAAAAATTAATTGCAATTTTGTCCTTCAAATAATCAAAATGTAAGCCCCCAAAGATGAGGATAAATCGTAGAAGCTGATCAAAAAACTTGAGTATCAGCTTTGCCGTTTTAGGGAAACGTTTCGAACACCTTTCAGTTAATTTATCATTATAGTTTCCTTCCTAGTAAAGCCAGGGATGGTGGGAGGACTGTTTGTCGTGACTTCGAAATATTTGTAAAAACCTCGTATTATACTATTACTGTTTATTTATTATACACTATAATTTTACCCTATCACCCTGTACTTAGCATGTTGATTCGTAAAACCTCTGCCTGGTCTTTGACACGTTGTCTGTAATTGTAAAAAACAGGAACAGAAGTTTACCCTCTTATGGAACGGTGTGCTCGTGAATGTTTAACAAGCGGCTTCCAGGAAAAAAAGACCCAGATCTGGTAAGACCAGATTTCCATGGTGAGATGCCATAAATACCTCCCCCGTGGCCAGCATCAAACCACGACCGTGGCTCTGGGCACAGGTGCCTGCGGCGCTGCTTGGCGGTAGCTGATGGGTTGCAACCCACACACTCCTGGGGCCCTGAGAGCGCAGCTCTGCGCGCCTTCCAACTCCTCTTGAGCTACTCCTTACGTTACTCGTACTTTTTACAGTTCCTTAGACACCGCAGCTCTTTCTTTTCTCAGGGTTTTCACTACAGGCTTCTTCCTCCGCCTGGAAAACCGCACCCTCCTTTCCTGTTAGATCTCCGGCTTCCCATGCACTCGCACTGCTGGAGAACTGGGATCATGATACAAAATGTTTTGGGTTCTGTGTTAATGTAGTTCTTTAAACAAAAGTTTCCCAAACCACTGCCCTAGACAACACTAGGATGGGCACTGCCAGCGGATTCTCATTTTCTAGGTCTCCGATCGCCAGTCCTGACCCCACCCCGGCCATTATAGGCTAATTTCTTCCATCAGGTTACGGTCCAGTCCTTCCGTTCTGGGGGCCCGTGAACCTGCCTTCCAGTTGCATATCTGCTCTAACACAGGAAATGGTGAGTCTATCATTTCCTCGGCAGTGGACTACTTTATTCTCATGTGCCGCGATACCTCCCCTCCGTACCAGCCACACAGATTATTTCATTTCTGTTGTTGAATGTTCCTGTTGTAATGTGATTTCGAAGTCCTCGTTCAGACTTCCAATGTTTCAACATTCCTCGTAAAAAAGAAGAGTGTACCTCATATCTTACCTGTGTCATTTTTTTTAGTGTTTATTTATTTTTGAGAGACAGAGTGTGAGCGGGGGAGGGGCAGAGAGAGAGAGGGAGACACAGAAGCTGAAGCAGGTTCCAGGCTCTGCTGGATCCCACCAACTAGGAGATCATGACCTGGGTTGAAATTGGATGCCCAACTGACTGAGCCACGCAGGTGCCTCTTACCTATGTCGCTTAATACAATGGAAATGTGAGTCATTTTAGTCATCTTATAAACATTGTCTTTATTTTTTTTAAGAGTATTTTTAATGTTTATTTTGAGACTGAGAACGTGTGCAGGCATGAATGGGGGATGGAGAGAGAGAGACAGAGAGAGAGAGAGAGAGAGAGAGAGAGAGAATCCCAAGCAGGCTTCACGCTGTCAGCGCAGAACCTGTTGTGAGGCTTGAACTCACCAACCGTGACATCAAGCCCTGAGGCAAAATCAAGAATCCATTGCTTAACCAACTGAGCCACTCAGGCATCCCAACACTGTCTTTAAGTGATAGGATTTATTTATATCACTGTTATATATTTCCACTGACATCATTTTCAAGAAAGTACTATGAGATTCTCCATGGTCGTATACTTATTAAGTCTTCTCTCTCTCCCTCCATTCCTTCTTCCCTCCTTTATCTTGCCTTTCTTTTACAACAAAACAAAACAAAACAAAACAACAAAAAAAAACTTTCTGGGGCGCCTGAGTGGCTCAGTTGGTTAAGCGTCTGACTTGGGCTCAGGTCATGATCTCATGGTTTGTGGGTTGGAGCCCCGTATCAGGCGGTCTTTGTGCTGACAGTTCAGAGCCTGGAGCCTGCTTCGGATTCTGTGCGTCCCTCTCTCTCTGCCCCTCTCCTGCCCACACTCTGTCTCTCTCTCTCTCTCAAAAATAAATAAACATTAAAAAAAAATAAAAATTAAAAGAAGCTTTCTTCTTTTAATTTCCTTTAGTTAATATTGGTACCTGAATGAGAATGAGTCTGCTTTTGTATCTTCTTTGATCTGTTTTTGTATCTTCTTTGACCTGTTGTATCAGGTATTTATTGAATATGTATTTTCTATATCTAATCACACTTGATTCTCTGTTTAGTAACTATAGGACAATGAAAACATTTACTGAGAATCTAAAATTAAATACCTATCCCCTAAACCTTAAAAGTTCGTAGCATTTGTAATTCCTTAAACACCATCTGTTAGTGCTTTTAGTAAGCAAGTTGTTAATTTATATAGCAGAAATGTCACTAACATTAAAAAATTGTGCTCTAAAATGTGTTTAGACATTCTAAACTACTGATGACTTCTCTCTCATTACTCTCCTCACTTATCTGCAGTACTGCACCCACAGTCATAAATCTTCTGCCTCTTTTACGTCCAGTTCCTTCCATTTATTTCTGATATGATCATCTTGATTTACTATTATTGGTATGATTGGATCGTCATTACTGATTACTTACTTGTACAGTTCCAGGATCATACTATCTGCTCTGTAAAATGTTACTTCCACTTTTATTTTCTTACTTCTAGTATTCTATAAATTGTAAAAAGCGCTTTTCCTCAAAATGCTTTTCCTTGGAGCTACTACAAAGTTATCATCCTAAGGACCTGGAACAAATAATAAAAACCTGTATCTAATTCCAGTTACCTTTGGTGACTATGCTATGCCCATTAGAGAAAACTCTAGGAAGGTAAAGAACTTCCCGGCATAGTCACTGGTATCCTCAGAGCTTAGAACAACGCCTTACACATGCTGAATGGTTAATAAAGGATGGTTGAATCAATGAATCTGGGGACAGGGAGGGAGGACACCCATGTCTTTCCTTATGTGGCACTGAATGCCCACAAATATGTATGTATTTCTTTTTTTTCTAAGATTTTATTTTTAAATAATCTTGACATCCAACGCGGGGCTTGGATTCACAACCCCAAGATCAAGAGCTGCGTGTTCTACTGACTGAGCCAGCCAGGTGCCCCAAATATATATGTATTTTAATTAATTGTAGACTTAACGGTCCAGTTTCCATCCAGTTGGATCAAGGTGTATGCATTGATCAAAATAAATTATATGGCCAAAGACACCACATCTCCATGTGGATCTTCAGTCACAAGTTCTTTATGTACCTGTTGTTTCAATAAAGGTGAAATAAAATTTAGCATGTGATTATTCTAGCAACTATTCATGCAGACAGGTGAATTGAGTATTAAAGAAAAAACACGGGGCACCTGGGTGGCTGGATCGGTTGAGCGTCCAACTTTGGCTCAGGTCATGATCTCACAGTTTATGAGTTCAAGCCCCGCATCCGGCTCTGTGCTGACATCTCGGAGCCTGGAGCCTGTTTCAGATTCTGCGTCTCCCTCTCTCTCTATTCCTCTCCTGCTTGTGCTCTGTCTCCCTCTCTCAAAAATAAAAACATTTAAAAAAGTTTGGTTTTTTTTAATTTTTTTAACGTTTTTATTTATTTTTGAGACAGAGAGAGACAGAGCATGAACAGGGGAGGGTCAGCGAGAGGGAGACACAGAATCCGAAACAGGCTCCAGGCTCTGAGCTGTCAGCACAGAGCCCGACGCAGGGCTCGAACTCACAGACCGCGAGATCATGACCTGAGCCGAAGTTGGCCGCCCAACCGACTGAGCCACCCAGGCGCCCCAAAAGTTTGTTTTTTTAAAGCATACTTATTTGTTTTGGTTTTATAGGATCAGGAGTAAGTAGTTTCAGCAGAACTGTACAGATGTTGATATGATTTTCTTTGACCTCACAAATAGTCTTGAATTTAATTTTTAAATACAAAGTTCTTTTTTAACCTATTCAATATGTAGACTCCTTAAATTCCTATTTTGAAGCTTAGGGTTCATTCCCTTCCTTGTCACATACACAATGGCCCCTCTGTATTCCATGTCTGTTTTCTTTTATTTAGAGCAATATCTGAAATTCTTATTTCTTTTATTTGTTCATAGGCTGTCCCTCCTCAATAGGACATACATACCATGAAAGCAGACCATCTTATCTGACCCTGCCATATCCCCAGCACATAAAAATTGCTCCTGGAAATTGCGTTGAAGGGTAGGAAGAAAGGAAGGAAAGAAGAAAAATGGCACTTGTTTTCTGATTTTTTTTTCATATTGAATTTTGGTTTAAAAAAATGCCTTAGTCCAAATACCATAGACTGAGTGGCCTACAAATATCAGAAATTTATTTCTCCATTCTGACTGCTACGTGGTCCAAGATCAAGGCACAAAAAATTCAATGTCTGGTGAAGTTCTACCTCTTGGTTCCTGGGTAGCTGTGTCTTATTGCTGTGTCTTCACCTGCAGAAGGGGTTAGGGAGCTCTCTGGGGTCTGTTTTATAAAGGCACTAACCATATTCATGAGATCTTGACCCTCATGACCTAGTCACCTCCTCAAAGTGCCACCTCTAAATACCACCAGCCCATTGGGAATTAGATTTGAACATATGAGTTCTGGGGGAAAACAAACAGCTGTAGCAGAAAAAAAATTTTTTTTAAGTTTCTTTATTTTTCAAAGAGAGAGAGAAACAGAGAGAAAGAGAGAGAGAGAGAGAGAGCAAGTGGGGGGTCAGGGGCAGAGAGAGAGGGAGACTGAGAATCCCAAGCAGGCTCTGTGCTGTTAGCAGATGTAGGCTTGAACTCATGAACTGTGAGATCATGACCTGAGCCGGAATTAAGAGTTGGATACTTAACCAACTGAGCCACCAAGAGGCTCCACAGAAAAAATTTAGTAACGAATTAGTTAACCCCTCCTCCCATGTTACTCAGAAAAACAAGGTCATTTTTCATCTCCTTATCTTTACATCTTCTTTTTCCCCTGATCTCAAAAGAAGAGGTGTTTCTCCCTTCCAAGCTTAACACCATTATACTGGTACTTCTTTACTTTATCCTGAAGTCCATGGGTGGACATGTGAGGATCCTGGAAGACAGGAAAATAAGAAATGCAGAGGGCCACGGACAAAATGCCAACAAATACCGACATGTGAGGATAGGACAAAGGAAGGAAAAACATAGGAAGGAGAACCTATTCACTCTCATTTACCCCTTACAATCTGGTTTCTGCCTAAACCACCGAATTAAGACTCTTCTCCCAAAAAGTGCTTAGTACACCTCCTATTACTTAACTTCTAAGTTTTCATCTCTCACTACTTCCTGTCTCAACCTGCTGGCCCCTTGAATAGTCATTCCTCAATGTTCAATCATGAGTGCTGTGTTTTATTTTTCTCTATTCTTCTTTGAGGAAAAAAAGCATTACAGAGAAATAAATGTATCCTCCCTTGCCTTCCTCCCACCCACTTCCACATCATTTACAAGGAGGAATTTCCCCAAACATTCCTGCCTCTTTCCACCTCCTAATTGGTACTTTTTTTTTTTAATGTGTATTTATTTTTGATAGAGAAAGTAAAAGCGGGGGAGGGACAGAGAGAGAGGGAGACACAGAATCTGAAGCAGACTCTGAGCTGTCTGCACAGAGCCTGATGTGGGTCTCGACCCCACGGCCCACCGTGGGATCATGACCTGAGCCAGCATCAGGTGGCCCAACCGAATGAACCACCCAGGCACCCCTGGTACGTCTTATTTAAGGAGCTGTGCTTGTATTGTTTTCCTTTTCCTGTTCATTTTGCCCACAAAAGAACCAGCCCATTCTACTCCTGGGACAGTTCCCTGCCTGTTTTATTCTAAGTCACAGTCATCACTGTGTGCTGTGGGATAAGTTAGACATGGTGGGAGAGAGGAAAGGGCTAAGGGCTCACTTGGCCTTCACATTAAACTATGTCCTCCAATATAGATAGGATTTATCCATAAGAAAGATGGTATTTTAAATCTCAGCCTTTTCTTTCCCTAACCTATTTGTTCAGACCC